TAGTCAGATATCTTCCTAATCACTCCCATCTAATCTCTGATGTAGGTAGGCCTCCCAAAGGTAGTAAAGTATAGTTTATTTAGAAATCAGATATAAAACTTATAGTAAAGTAGATTTTTATTTAAATATCAAATGTCGTTATTAAGATACATTGAATTCGCAAACCCAGCTTGGTTACTCACCATTCTGTAATTAATGCAAAATTGGATTCTAAGGATTTCCACATTGATAAGTTTCACAGCCTTTTTGAAAATTCTGTTCATGGAACTGCTTCTTTCTTTAAAAAAGTATGGCAAAATATACAAACAATAAAAAAACAACTTATAATATACAACTTAATGAAACCTTAAAGGAACACTCCAGGCATCATAAGAAATCCCTCTAAATTAAGTTGTTATGGAGCCTGGGGGCCCCCTGGGTGCACTATACCTCAAGGGGTTAAATTGTTCTTGAATGGTTTAACCCCTAACTTGCCTCCAGCATTGACTCAACTGCCCCAGGCAGCATCTGGCTTTTGAAATTTCAGTTTCAAGAAGCATAGAGTGCCGCTGATCAGCTGGCTTGGAAAGCCAATTACTGGTGCCTCTGCCTGGTGACTCTCCTCGCTTCTTAAAACTGAAATTTCAGAAGACGAATGCTTTGGAGTTAAACCCTAGAGGTAAGAGTGTACCCCATAACACCCCTAAATTGGGGTGTTTAGTTCTGCATCCTGCTAAGAGGAACTCAAATTATTAGCTGTGTTATGTAGTCAAGCTGTTATTGAGTTTAAATAACTTTTGTTTCTGACTTTTGAACCTTTTTGTAATACCTTTTTTATACATTTTGCTGGGTGGGGTGAAATAATCAATTACCTGGTGGTCCAGTGCGCTCCCTAATTATCTGATCTGTAGCTGCGTTCTGTATTACGCTCTCCCCTTTTTCTCAGGAACATTCTCTAAACTTTATGCATGGGAATGACCATTCAGACCATTCAGAGGCTTCTCATTGAGCAGCCGTGTGGACAAGCTGTCCAAGTGTGTGGCTGTTTAATCACAGACGTCTCAGTGAGCTTACAGCCCATTGAGAATCTTTTGCAATGAAGGAACTGAAGTGCTTTAGGTGTTTGGAGTGTTCCTTTAGGAGAGCATCTTGATTGGCTGTGTTGCTTCCTGGTCTGAGCAGAGCTGACTGTAGAAGCTGCAAAGCCACCTAACGTACATTTTCTCTTGTGGGTGGTTATTACTTTATTTGTTTTTCTGTTTTCTTTTTTAACATATATATTCTGCTGCTGTCACTGTTCATTTGCATCCCTCAAAGCTGGTCCTTTTTCTAGTTACAGTTCACAAAGACACAGACACTCTGCCAATTCCTTTTCGAGACAGGTTTCCATTTCCTGTGCGTTCTACACTGTTCTAGTGGTCAGAAGGAAGACTTTTAACCTCGGGCTAATCTGACACAACATTTATAGGCATGGCTCTAAGACACCACTATTTATAAACTACTATGTCATAGAAGATTTTACAGTATGTTCAGTTATATCATTTTAATATTTAATATCTATATTCATTCTTTATACTGTTTTATTGATTATATGGTTTTATTTATCTTGCAATATTTCAGAATGTGCACAAGGTATTAGTATACAGGCAGAAATATAATTTTGTGACATAAAGAAGATGTGACCAAAATACATGAAATACGCATTGAATGGCTATGACCAATTTATGCGCTATAGAATTCCATAGCTAGATGGTATTTAACAATCTGATGATGTTTGTAGCAATCCAGCTCCAAAATAATACCAACTGAATGTTACATAAAACTGAGTAAACTTGAGTATATTGTAAACATGAGTATAATGTCCATGTGCTGTGCAATTACTCTAAACTATGGTTGTATATATAAAGATATGGGTGATGTAAATATCTTACAGACAATCCATGTTCTGTGTTGAATGGGGTCCCCATCAAGATTTACATGCAGATGTCTGTATGCGTAAAATTCTAAGAATGTGTATATTTCTATTCGTAATGTATTGTGTTTGGATCTGTGAGTATAGTGAGTGTATGCAGTTGTGTAAATGCATGCAGGGTAAGATAATGTTAGAATTGGTTATGGTAAAGGGGTTAGGGTATGAGAGGAGATAACATCGCAATTAGTTTAAAATAGGGAATTTTGTGATACGTTGATTAAAAGCTTGAAAGGGGTTATAGTAGTGGTATACGGTGTGTTTAGAAATATTGAGTTTAGGATTAGATTTAGAGTTGGGTAAAATTTAGTATTGAAGAACATGAGGAGTTTTGTTTTTAAGAGGAGTTTAAGGTTTGTATTTTGAATGCTTAAAGGATCACTATAATGTCAGAAATAAAAATATGTATTCCTGACACTATAGGTCTAAATAACTGTTTTGCCCCTGCCCTCCCTTACTTCTGGTTAGAAAGGTGATTTACTTATCTTTTTCCAATGTCGCACGAGTCTGGTCGTGGCTCCACCCCCTTGGCTGAGATCATCAAACTTGAAAATCTCAGCCAATCCAATGCTTTGCAATAGAAATCATTGGGAGGCTCTCACGCATGCGTGCCAAAATGCTGCTCTGTGCCAATCAGCATCTCCTCATAGAGATGTATTGGCTAAATGGATCTCTATGGGGAAAGTTCAGCGACTCCATGCAATGTGCTGCCCTACCCCAGGAATCACATCTATTGATCGTCTGAGTGTTGTTTATAACAATTTGAATTGTTTATAACAATTTATTCACATCAAAGAAACCATAAAGCCACACGCACATATTACAAAACACCATAAATAGTGCAATAGAAGCATGTAGGATAAAATGCAGATAAAATCAGCCAGAGCCTCTCACCCAACGCATTTTGGCAACAAAAGACTTCCTTGGGGTTATGCAATCTGTAGAGTGATGTCCTCCCATTTACATCGAGTGTCCCTTAATAAGACCTTCCTCTGGTTTTTGCTGGCTTTTTCTTCCTAATGCGCCAATATCATGCAACTTCTTATTATGAGTTACACTTATATATCCTGCAATGTGCAACCTTAAAACTACCGTGGATACTGCCGAGAACTGTTGTTCTGATGTGCCTGTTTTCTGGCCTAATGACCTACACCTTTACTTATTGTTTTGGTCTGTAAGACCACATATCCTTTGTAGAAAAATAAAAATAAAAAATCGACTTCTGTACAAATTTAAAGAATCATAAAATCTTAATATTTATTTCATGATGATCATTACCATCCCTTTCTGTTCTGCAGAAGTGAAAAAAGGAGCATCTGTTGATTTGATAGCAGTAACTTGACTGTGCTAAAAGGAATGCTGAATCTTTGAGTCGCTGAATCACTCCATAAAACAATGCTGTTAGCCTCTCTATACACAACATGAGTGCACCGTGTACATTCAAGCTCTACAAACACTTTTCAAGAGTTGTTTTGTGTGTTTTTCTTTTTCCATTTTGCCATAAATGTATTTTAGTTACCTGTTGCTGGGCAGTGGTGGTATACAGGGACACTAGATATTCAGGGATTTTTAGATACTTCACTTAAAGGACCACTATAGGCACCCAGACGACTTCAGCTCAATGAATTGGTCTGGGTGCCAGGTCCCTCTAGTTTTAACCCTGCAGCTGAAAACATAGCTGTGATGCTTTGTACAAATCAGTCAATAATTCCTGTATAACGAAGTACTCACTTTATTACAACATATATGTGCTGTGTATGTGTGAGGGTGTTTGTGTGTGTGTGTGTGTTGGTGAGGGTGCTGTTAGTGTGCTTTGTGTGAGGGTGCTGTGTGTTTGTAAGGGTGCTGTGTGTGTGTGTTTATGAGGGTACTGTTAGTGTGCTGTGTGTGGTTGGGTGCTGTTTGTGTGCTGTGTGTGTAAGGGTGCTGTATGTGTGTGTGTTGTGTGTGTGCTGTATGTTTGTAGGGATTGTGGGAGTGGAGGTAGGGGCAGATTAGTAAATATCCCCCCTCCTTTCTTACCTTGTGTAGGGAGGATGATCATTGCTGCCATCCCTGGTGGTCCAGTGGAGAGTGAACTCTCGCAAGACTGAGCGTTGCCATGGCAATGCTCAGATCTCGCGAGAGGAACCAGGCGGAGCTGCTGGCTAGAGCAGGTCCTCTCCTGCCTCCCTCCATGCTGCTTTGGGCCGGTGAGGGAGATAGTGCCAGCTCTGCATGAGCCGACAGGGGAGATCCTGAGATCTCCCCTACCGGTCTCAATCCATAGGAATGCCGCGGGGATTAGGGTGTGCCCAGGCACACCTGCCACACCTTGTGCGCACGCCTATGTGTGTCTGTTTTGCTATTATGTCAGTATAGGTAAACATTAACCCCTTATGGACTGAGCCAAATTTACACGTTTTGATCAAAATAAAAAGTAAACAATTTGGAATTGGACTATATGCCTGTTTAACCATAATTCACCTCTTTCATATTAAGTGCACACCCACTTATTATATATAATTTTATTCAGGAAAATTAAAAAGGCTTTGCTTTTTTTTTAAATTCTTTATTTTTGTTGTGGAAGATTTCCATGGTTGTGGTGATAGTATACAATTTCCAGCAGGGCCGGACTGGGAGAAAAATTCGGCCCGGGCATTTTTTTTAACACAGCGGCCCACTAAAAAGGGGGCGGGGCAGAGGAGGTGTGTTTTGTCATCACCAATGACAAACACGCCTCCTCTCAAAGTGAGCATGTTGGTTCAATGCTCTTCCAGGGCAGACCATGCGCAGAGCTCTGCTGAAGAGCTCTAGCATGAGAAAAAAGTCCTGTATTTGTTCTGCACAGTGCAAGCAAATTTAATAACATGCTTGCACTGTGTTTCCTTGCAACTTGTCTCTGGTGTCTCTATAAATGGATACCAGGAGACAAAAGGCCAGGAAAGAGTATTGTGCATGTGTTTGGAGCCTGCTTGTGGTATTGCATGTGTGTAGAGTGAGCTGGTCGTGGTGTGGTATTGTGTAATAAGGTCGGTTTTAGTCGTGTTGTGTTTGTGGTGTAATGTGATGCATATGTGGCTCAGGGACCCCCTCCCGCCCGGCTCTGGAAAAGGGTTAAAACTTACCTTTTTCCAGCGCCGGGCGGGGAGCTCTCCTCCTCCGATCCGCCCTGTCGGCTGAATGCGCACGCGTGGCAAGAGCTGCGCGCGCATTCAGCCAGTCGCATAGGAAAGCATTTATAATGCTTTCCTATGGACGCTTGCGTGCTCTCACTGTGATTTTCACAGTGAAAAGCACGGAAGCGCCTCTAGCGGCTGTCAATGAGACAGCTGCTAGAGGCTTTGGGGGAAGGCTTAACCCATTGATAAACTGCTATGTTTATAAAACAATGGGTTAACCCTAGAAGGACCTGGCACCAAGAGCACTTCATTAAGCAGAAGTGGTCTGGGTGGCTAGAGTGGTCCTTTAAGAGTGTAGTGTGTGTGTGTGTGTGTGTATATATATATATATATATATATATATATATATATATATATATATTTGGAAGTATTGTGTATGTGTGTGGTGCAGTGTGTTGGGGGGGTTCTGTGTGTATGTGAGGGGTGCAGTATGTGTGTGTGTAAGGGTGCGGTGTGTGTGTGAGGGGTGCGGTGTGTGTGAGTGCCGTGTGAGAGTGCCGTGTGTGAGTGATGGGTGTGAGAGTGCCGTGTGTGAGAGTGCGTGTGTGAGAGTGCTGTGTGAGATGGGTGTGAGAGAGTGCTCTGTGAGAGTGCTGTGAGTGTGATGGGTGTGAGAGTGCTGTGAGAGAGTGCTGTGTGTGTGTGAGAGTGCTCTGTGAGAGTGCTGTGAGTGTGATGGTGTGAGAGTGCTGTGTGAGAGAGTGCTGGGTGTGAGAGTGCCGTGTGAGAGAGTGCTGTGTGTGTGTGAGAGTGCTGTGAGTGTGATGGGTGTGAGAGTGCTGTGTGAGAGAGTGCTGTGTGTGATGGGTGTGAGAGTGCTGTGTGTGATGGGTGTGAGAGTGCAGGGTGTGAGAGTGCTGTGTGTGATGGGTGTGACAGTGCTGTGTGTGATGGGTGTGAGAGTGCTGTATAAATGTTATTGTGTGTGTGTGTAGGGGGGGGTAAATAAAATTTAAAAAAAAACAAAACAAAAAAACAGTAATTATTCCCCCCCCCTCCCTTCTTACCTTTAGCCTGGGAGGGGGGGTCCGGCACGCTGGCAGGCGGGGTGGAGCTGTTCCCTGGTGGTCCTCGTGGGTGAGTGAACTCTAGCCAGCATAGCCTGTGAGGCTAGAGTTCACTCTCGCGAGATCCGGTCGTTGCCATGGCAACGCGCCGGATCTCGCGAGAGGAACCCGGCGGAGCTGCAAATTAGAGCTCCGCCGGGTCCTCTCTCCAGCCTGGCTGGTTGGCTCCCTCTCTCCCCGCCGGCGGCCGCATGTGGGCCGGTCAGGGAGATCCTTGATCTCCCCACTGGCCCGTCGTGGAAAACAGCGGGGCCGGCGCTAGGAGAGTGCCGGCCCTGCATAGACCGGCAGGGGAGATCCTGGGACCTCCCCTGCCGGCCTCGGCCCCACGGCCACCGCGGCCCACCGGGCATTTGCCCGGTGTGCCCGATGGCCAGTCCGGGCCTGATTTCCAGTTAAAAAAGATATAAAGCAAACATATAAAGGTATAATACAAACATAAGAAACAAGCGTCACCATACTTTAGTGGTATACAATAGTCAATTGCAACTGAGCAGATGGGTCCCCTGTGGTTAGGCCATTAGGTTACAGTGTGGGTCCCCTTATGTGTCCCCATGAGGTCCCCTCTTTTCTTTTCTCCTCAGTCGTGGGTGTCGTCCCTGTCCCACTATTCGTTAGGTGTCTCTCCTGTTCTATAGTGTGGTACATGTGCCTGCTAACCCTTGCCCTTCTTCACTTCCTCCTCTCCTTTAGTCTCTTTTTCGTCACTTTTGTATTCGGGTCACCCAGTTGTCTCTCAATGTGTCCCCCGCTGCTAATTGGCGGGGCATATCCGTGGACTGTCCCCTTGCAGTCATATTAATGGGTTGAGAGGTCCCCCGAATCCTGTGGTGGTTGTAGTGCCTGATCGTGTTTCTGGTCCGTGTTTGTCACCCACTGGTGTCATGTCCATCTCCCCCGTTCCCTCTTCTGTGTTTCTCACGAAGGCCTTCTCCCCCGTCCATTTTGTACCCCCGCTGTGGTCCCCCTCTATCTTAGGTAGTTAGTGCCCGTGTCTCGGACCCGGGTGGGTATGCTGGCAGCTCAGATGGGTGACGTAGAACCCTACAGTCAGATGCGGCCCGCCCGTGACACATATGGAGTGAGGCCATAAACATAAACAATCAAGACATATTGGTATGACACGTTTGCAGCTCCTGCGGGGCTGAGAATGCCCAATTAGGTAGAACTCCCTGACAGCACAAGTAGAGTGAGGAATATATCAGTTAGCATAACTCTCTAGCTACTCGCTTAGGACTAGGAATTCACAATTTGGTACAGCATGGCATCGCTTCGTGTAAAGTTAAGACTCTTTTTGGTACCACATACTAGCTGCTCTTGTGGGGTTGATTAAAAACAGGTTGGGCCAACCCTCGGACAGCTCATATAGAGTGAATGGTATGCATGTTAGCATAACATTCTCGCAGCTCGCCTAAAGTTAAAAAATAAACAGTTTTGAGTAGTATATCATCTTCTTTAGGGCCGCCCTTGGACAGCTGGTGCAGAGTTAAAGATATGCATATTGGTATAGCTCTCTCGCCTAGAATTTACCGTGAACAGTTTAAAGTAACCCCTCGTGTGGAGTTTGAAAAAACAAAACAAAAAAAAACCAACTATATGGTATAACCTTGTAACATCTCGTATGAAGTTTAAGATCTGGTGACCTGTAATGTCTCAATGTCTCATGTAGAGTTTAAAGTCTTGCAGTCTGGTGGTTTGCAGTAGCAGTTCATATGGGGTAAGGGCAGTCCTTTCGGCTGCGATCTCTCTTCAGGGCTATCCGCACTATGGAGGTTGCTTTTGTGTAGACTGCCGTTCTGCCGCCACCATGCCAGTTTTTTCTCCCCTCTCGGTGGGGAGTTTCTCCGTGGGGTGAGCTCGGTTCTCTCCTAGTGGATCAGGCTGCAGCTGCGGTAACTGAAGTCGCCTCAGAAAGTGCGTGGGGTCATCTGTGACGGAGAGCGAAAGCACCGCTTCCCCGTGTGATACCACCAGGGTACCCGACTCTCCCCAACTGTACCTGATTCCGTGGTCTCTGAGCAGTTTGGTGGTTGGCATGAATTTGCGTCTCTCCAACAGGACCGCAAACTATAAGTCGTCAAAGATTCTGACTTGGTAGCTATCCACAGCGGATCGCCGTTTTCAACGCTGTGCTCTGAGTGACAGCGATTATGTCCCTAGGAGCGTCCACTGGGGCCGTCGCGGCCTCTCGGATCCGGAATGCCATCGCCATAAACGGCAGCCCTCCCTCTCCCCTCACCTCCATCACTGTAGCCAGTTTGTTAGCGAACTCCAGCACCGCTTCAGGCCCTACTGTTTCGGGCACCCCACGGATGCATATATTTTTCTTGCGGTGTCTAGCCTCCATGGCCGTGACGGTACGGGTGAGTCGCTGGAGCTGCTGGGAGAGGTCCTCTACATTAGCTCGGGTCTCTGCGAGGGTGTTATTCCTCATCTCGGGTCTCTACTGCTCCAATGAGGGCCTTGATGCCGCCTAGTTCTCCGCGGACCTCATCCAGGACCTTCTTCCAGACTCCTCTGAGCTCGAGCAGGAGCCTTTTTTTTTTTCAATTTGACAATTTTTATTTGTCTTTCATAGGATGATGGGGTACAGAAGGAAAAGTGGGATGGGGTAAACATTAATACATGCATAATAAAATGATACAGAGGAGGTGTTGTAATATTGATTATTCATTTGACACACTAGGCATATTTAGGTGTTTTTCTGTTGTACGTCTTACACAGTTGGTTGCTTAGTGGTCTTTGTCTAGGAACATTCCTGTCTAGTGGTGGAGGACCCACTCCATTATGTTTCGGTGTCCGCTCTCATTATACTAGGGGGTGTATAGTTTGATTATCGAGCAAGGGGATCATTATGTGTCAGATGTGACCCGAGCGTTGCAATTAGATTAGGACAGTTTCACCTTATAGCGTGAGAATCTTCTCCCCTAAATTTGTTGTGTGTTTTTTTTTTTTTTTCAGGTTTGTATTGTTTATGCATACAATATAGCGGGGGGTACAGAAAAGAAGAAGGGGAGGGTGAGCGGTTAGGGTACATTAGTCATCTTCATATTTATACATGTTAGACAGTCCTAATGAGCTTGATCTTATATGGGTGGAGTTTTGTTACTAGTGGGGTGGGTCGGGGTCCAGCCATTCGACCGAGCAGGAGCCTTTTGATATCCCCTTTGGTAGAGGGTGATGTATCTGAATCAGAGTCATCTCTCCTGTATATACCACTAGGGGCTTGTGTTGATTCTGGTGCCTCCTCGTCCGGGGACATCTCTGACTCACTGGAGCCTCGAGGCCTGCTAGGCGCCATCTTAGGCTGTGCTGGCTGTTGCGGCCTATCGAACGACCACCTAATGTCTGGCATTTTGGAAGCCTCAGAAGCAAGCATGTTTGCGCCCCATCTCTCTTTTGTTGGGTTCAGGGTTGCCAGGAGCCTGGTTGTGGCGTTAGTCTGCAGGCTTTTCGTTGCCTTTTAATGTGTTTTTTTAGTTGATTTTCCAGGAGCTCCCTGTACACACGTCTGCTTAGATGCTCAGCTAGCCACGCCCCCCCAAGGCTTTACTTTTAACATCAAATATTTAGCTATGAAACATGATTTAATATGAATAAAATATAAAAAAAAATGTAAGAAATTAAGAAATATTATTTTTTTAGTTCTGCGTGACATTTTAACTGTGAATGTCATATGCTTTTACTGCAATAAAATACACATATTTATATTCAGCGATGTCTCCTGTGTAAAACAGTACCCCCTATGTACAGGTTTTATGGTGTTTTGGGAAGTTGCAGGGTCCAATATAGCATTTTACATTTTTCAGTTTTTTCACATTGAAATTCGCTAGGTTGGTTATGTTGCCTTTGAGACCGTATGGTAGCCCAGGAATGAGAATTACCCCCATTATGGCATACCATTTTCAAAAGTAGACAACCCAAGGTATGTATATTATCAAAATACAGTTAGATGAAATTACACACACACACACATATATATATATATATATATATATATATATATATTCTAATTATTTATTTTTAATTTTTAACATATTTATATATTTATTTAATTTATATTATAGTTATATATAATTATATATATATATATATTTAATTAATATCATTCTACGTGTATTTTGATATCAAAATAAATATATATATGTGTGTGTGTATATTATTAAAATACACTTACAGTGTATGTGTATATATATATACTTAGATCATATACATAATATATTTATATATATATATATATATATATATATGATCTAAGTATATATTGTTTTATTTTAAACTGTATTTTAACTTTATTTTAATTTATTTCAGGCAGCAGGGGGACTACCTGTCATTCCAGGCACTCCCCCTGCTGGCACTGCTATGGACGGCTATTCCATCCATGTGATTGTGAGGTCCTCGCAAGGACCCTCACGATCACATGGCCCAGGAGGGCCAGATCAGATGTAGGGGGACTGCTTGGGATGCCAGACAAGTCCCCCCCAGGTAAGTGGCCAGGACGGGAGAGACACCCACCGGCGTTTAGAGCCAGGTCCTCAAGGAAGGCATAGCATGCCCGCCATCCTTAAAGGGTTAATAAAGTTGTTGTTTTGTTTGTTTTGTTCTATATTAATTCTTAGCAACTTTAGTATGGGGAAGTTACCCTGTGTAGCGGTACTTACCTTATCGGGGGGCAGGCCGAGGTCTTCAGTTCCCGCCGCACGCGGCTCGCTCGGGGCTCGGATGACGGCGGGCACTGACCGCGGGATGCGGTCACGTGTCCCGCCTAGCTCCAAGAGCGCACCCCGCGTCTCGGGCACGCTCTTAAAGGGAAAGTGGAAGCCGAAAACTAAAGTGGTCTCCCATTTTGGGGGCGTGGATATGACAGGGGCCAATCAAATTAAATGCAAGGGTATTTATACTTACCTCTCCCTTAACTCCCTGCCCTATCGTGGTTTCTGTTTCAGTTCCCTTTAGCGCTTGTTTTGTTCAGTTGTAATTTTTCGTACTTGACCTTGGCTTTGTATCTGACTCCATTTATCTCTTTATCCCTGTTTTGTCTTGTTTGCCGGCTTACTGATTACTGTGTACCAGACCTTGGCTAGTTCTTGTTTTCGCTGTCTCTTTGTACCCTTGACCTCGGATCGTTCTTGACTCTGTATTTCTCTGCTCTACGTCGAGTCCGGCCATTCTAAGGTCCGGTAAGACGTATCTGCTCTATATTGTCAATTGTTGGACTAAATCTTGCGAGTTGGGGTAAACTACCGTGACACCCTGCCAAGCTCACTTATAAGAAACATCTTTTTGCCTTACTCTTAAGTTTTCTGACTAATTAGGGGATTATACCCCCCATTTATTTTTGTGTTTCATTTCTGATTTTTTGTAAGCTCCACTAGTTCTTTTCAGATTGAAAACATACCAGAGCACCAACGTGCATGCAAAACCGTGGGGCCCTGTTTCTAACCTTCTTTTGTAGGAGAATATGGCTAGCTCTAAGTAAAGCCATGGGGGCGGGTTTAACTATTTGCCGTGGGATGGCACCATAACCACTAATGTGGGCTGTAGTGGTTATGTGGCATGGAGTGTTTTTTGATGTTTTACTGTTGTTATGTTAACATAGCACAGCTAAATGATTATGATATAGATAGTAGCAAGATATGCTAGGATTGAAAAGCACTATGGTTATAGCTCTTACAAATGTGAGTTGGCACTTTTTTACCTCAGGGTTGTCTGTAACGAAAAAAATTGACAAAGCAGAATGAAAAATAAAGGACAAACAAAGACTGGATTCCAGTACACATTCAGGTTACTGAGTCACTAATTCCCTTAGGGACGAAAGGGTTGACTCTGGAGACGGCCCAGGTATGACTTGTGCCCGGTGTGTCGGCCTGCTCCTGCAGGTTTAGTGCGTGGAGGAAGGCCGGTCCCTCTGAGGGTCCTAGGGCTTTAAAAAGCCTTTCCGTTTTGGATGACCATGAGATCTCTGGGGAAGGACCACCGGTAAGGGAGTCCAGCAGCTTTTAGGGTTTTTGTTATTGGCTGCATGGATTTTCGCCACAGTAAAGTGGCTCTGCTTAAAGGACCACTCTAGGCACCCAGACCACTTCAGCTTAATGAAGTGGTCTGGGTGCCAGGTCCAGCTAGGGTTAACCCATTTTTTCATAAACATAGCAGTTTCAGAGAAACTGCTATGTTTATGAATGGGTTAAGCCTTCCCCTATTTCCTCTAGCAGCTGTCTCATTGACAGCCGCTAGAGGCGCTTGCGTGCTTCTCACTGTGATTTTCACGCGTGCGCATTCAGCCGATGGGGAGGAGAAGAGGAGGATCGGAGGAGGAGAGCTCTCCGCCCAGCGCTGGAAAAAGGTACGTTTTAACCCCTTTCCCCTTTCCAGAGCCGGGCGGGAGGGGGTCCCTGAGGGTGGGGGCACCCTCAGGGCACTATAGTGCCAGGAAAACGAGTATGTTTTCCTGGCACTATAGTGGTCCTTTAAGTCCTGGAAGAATCGTGTTTGCGATTCAAATTGTAGTGGAATCTTCCCCTTTGGGGCACTGAGGAGCCTTTGCTTCTCGGCAAGGGTTTGGCAACACATGATGTCGCAGGGAGCCTTATTCGGTGCTTGCGAGGATTTGGCTATTCGATATACTCCGTCAAAGGCAGATTATGTAGCATTTTTTGCAGGTAAGACTGAGGAGGCTAGGCGTCTGACGAAGTGGGTACGTTCCTCAGGTGGGAGTGAGTCCACCACTCCACGGATCTTAATATTTCTATTCTGCTCTCTGTCCTCTAACTGTGCCATCTGAATACTTTGGTGTGATTGTGCGGCTTGAAGTAGTTGCACTGTCTCACTCATGGAAGTCAGTCCCTGCTTCAGATCGTGAAGGTCTGCCTCGGTTGTTTGTACCCTGTTTGTTACTGTTTGTACGGCCCTTATCTGAACAGAGAACATTTGTGTGATGTTGTCGTGCGGTAACACTTCCGGGTTCGGCACTCCGCTGTGCGGAGCCGGATCCGCCCCCCTCTGACGCAGCTCTGACGGTATTTAGGGAGACCGCGCCAGAGAGAGGGGGCTTGGTGAGACTGGGAGCTACTTCCACCAGACTTACCTCTCCGCAGGCTCTGGCAATGTGGGTCCTACTTCCGAGTATGCACACCGGCTTCGGGGACACGCCGGCTCTACAAGCTCTGAAGTCGTCCTAGCCTTCTGGGCTAAGACAAGTCTGCTTCATGCCACAGAGGATTACTGGAGAATAGAAACTCACTTACTTTACAAGTGGACAATATCTCTGAACTATTGGAGGACTACTCACATTAACCTTAAGTATATCTTTCAGCTATTTGTCTACAATATCATTTGATAATGAACTAATGCTTGCTTACTTAAATCTTCACTGCTTCAAGCTACTAATTATATGGAGGACAACTCCCATCATGCTTATTAACTATGAACTGTTCCAGCTTTTCAAATACTCTCAACAACTTGCTTAAAGTTATTTTTGAAGATTATTCTCATGAACTTAAAGAATGTTACTTAATGCATCCCTGAGGAAATACTTATTAATGAACTTTGTGTTGTTGATTACTTGCACTTCTTCTTATTGGATTATTGCCTAAATGCAATCCATTTAAGTTTAACACTTATTAAAACTTCGTTTGAATCAGGTTACCAGCAATTCTCTCTTTTCTTAAAGCTACAGTATTGATACTTTAAAGATTCTCTGTTTCTTCACTATTGTAATTAGGGAGTTTTACAAGCTGCAGTTGAGTTCCAATCCAAATCACCCAAGTAGCGTAACAGATGTGTACTAGCAGGTTATATATGTCCTGCTTGGTGGACAGTGCGTTACCATCAGCTATTGCCGGGCCTCTGGCATGGAGAGCATCTCTGCACATGGGTCGCTTGCGGTTTCAGGGCTTGGTGGTGTTGCCTCTCTGATTCTGGATGTCAGCATTTGACTGATGTCCTGGCCCTCTCTGGTGGAGGATTGGGCCGGTTTCTGTGATTTCCACCGTTGGAGAGGTGTGGCTGCAGTATTCAGGGGTTGCAATACTCTCTGGGCCTTTCCCGTAGGTGGCACTGTGCAGCCGCAGGCTTCTTATGCAATTGGCCCGAAGACCTCTAAGCCGGTTTTTACCAATCATGAGAAAAATTAAGGGCATCTGCTGATTCGGTATCACCTCCCTGAGTTGTTGGAGGTAGTTACACATTGTAGTCTTTATTTTCTGCAGTGTTAGGGGAGATTATGTCCAGGTTGTTCTCGTATCTTTGGGAAGGTGCGTCTGCCTTGGAGCACTGCAAAGCTCTGCCCCAGACAGTCGCCATTTTAAATGGTTGAGTTGGCTAAGAGGAGTTGCGAGATTAGCTCAAAGCACCAGGTAAATGCTGCTGAAAGCTGGGGCTCCCGAAAGAGTAAAATAACAATCAAAGTCTCCCTTTGTATGTCTGGGGATCCCCAATCAGCATAGCCCCTTTTAGCAGGTGAAATAGCTCCTTGGCTATGATTAGCAACCCCAACTCAGCTACATAATCAGGAGCTCAGGCGATGCATGTCTGTTCTGCTTAAGGGGCTAGATTCCTCCCTCCCCAAAACATTTTAATCTGGCAATGTTTCAACCCAAATTGGTCTATGTCAAGCCATGGTTACTGCCAGGTTTACTGTTTCATGATGGAAAAAATAATCTTTGAAAATTGACTTTTAGTGTTGTGACTTTTTATATCTTTAGTCCCTTAATCCATGCATGTGAAATACAGAAAAGTATGGAAAAGTAAAGTTAATGGCTATTTTAACTTTTTCATTTTCCTTTTCCATTTCCTTCAATTCACTTTTTAGTAAATATACCTTTTAGTAACAGTTTCTAGTGTAGTGATGTACCTCACTACAATGGCCATTTGAATAAACATTCCAGCTTCCTCTGTAGGATAAAATAGTTACATCACAGATACATTTTGATCCTGATTACAGTTTCATCTGCAGCATACCAACATTCTTCATTGTTCTGTTATGCAATGTTGTTTAAATCTTTTTTTTACATCTCTCTGTTTTTCTTCCAAGTTGTTATATAAAAAAAAAAGGGGACTGACACCTTTGCATTAATGGTTCAATCTAATGGCTAACTAAAATCTAAAATTCTTTTCATTTTAAAGTTTATTGCAGATTTTAAGCTTGAGACACTGCTGCGGTGCTGCTGTCATTTCAGGACGGATGAATCCTGCATGGAAACATTTTAAAAGATCACGTGTAACAAGAAAAGAAAGGAGTGCAATATATTTATTACATTTACTGAAACAAGTATATAATCTCATATTGTCCTTGTACAGCCTGGTCTGCAGGGCAAGTATTTAAAGGTCTATTATTCATATGCACATACACAAAAGAGCGTAAGGCTCTAGTGCAGTAGGAATCCATTGAAACTATATTTTCAGACAGGGCTGGCAATCAGATTTGTTGGGGCCCCTTACACAGTCAACCAGCCTGCCCACAAAGATGCAGTGTGAGTTTAGTGAATGTGGTGTGTGTGGTGAATTTAGGATGTGTATAGTGGATGCAGCAGTGCAAATTAAGTTAATTATCTTAATTTATTTCTATGCAGCTATTAAATCCCAAGTGTGCTGTATATAATTCTGCCCTTCTCCCTTCACAGGAAGAGGACATCATTTTGACAAACTGATGCACTATCAAGTGATGAACCTGTGTAGTTCCCATACGTATTTTTTTTTAGGACTTAACCCATAGATATGTAGGAAAAAGAACAATTGTACTCATGCCTTCATTATCCATCATAGAAAAATGTCCTACTACCATATAGGGCAGCAGAAATAAATGTATTTGTTCTCAATTCTACCCATCATATGCATGAAATTTATTTACTGTGTAGTGTAGTTTACTGATGTGTGCTGTTAGTTCAAATGTAGGTCCCAATTTGATTTAAATATCCTTTATAAAGTTTCAGTAATAAACAATCATTTTGTGTAATGGAGACACATTTATTTCTTTAGCTTTATTTAGTATTTTTCTGAGGGGGAATAAAATATGAGACATCAACACAACGGCATGTGTCTCTAGTTAGGTTTAAATTCCAACTCCTGGTTAGAAGAACTGGTGCAAGAGAATATTTGATGGAGGTCTGAAAAACTCAAGTTGCACAAAAATACATTAGTATATCGTATGCGCAACTTGTCAAAATCAAAGTGAAACATCCAGTTCAAGCATCAAGCATTTAAAAATCAGATATTGCTAGTGTAATAGATCCCTGACAGTAACACTGTCTCTGTTTCCATTGCTGTGTGAATATTGTGTGCAATACCTAAATGTTGCTAGCTAGGGAATTTGTATGTATTTACACATATCTACATACCATGGCAATTGCGGTCAAAACTTGGTAAAATGTATTAATTGTTCTCCTGATCCCCTACCCATCCTTTTGAAAAGTGATAGTTTATTGCATAGCTGTTACCTATGTGCAATTATATTGTTTTGGTTGTGTCACCATGAGTTGAATGTTGTTTTGTTGGAGGCTAGTCCTCGTGTTCAATAAAATATTTTGTTTATATAGTTGTTTTTCCTACTCAGCAGGTGTGTTTTCTCTGTTATTTGGGCGGCATTGTGATAGAGTTTGTAAACATGTGTACTGAGAGCTTAATCGCTGGGGCCTGTAAGCCAAAAGTGTCTTTGTAAAGACAGCGTTGGGAGCAGCCAGAGTAATTAGTTACTGCCTGGAAGAAGGATTGAGCAAAGTAGGTTATATGTTCTTGTTGGCAAGCCCTTATCCTGAAACATTGTGGTGGTGGTGGTGGTGGTGGTGATGTATGGAACAGACAGTGTGGTGGGACAGATTTAATCTGTTCTGGTTACAGCCCATAACATCAAACTGTGTCACTAACCAACTGAGAGGAAAGTATAAAACTACAGTTCAATCAAGTACTTGTTTGTCAAGCTAAAGCAAAGTGCTTGTGGCAGAGGTTATAGTACAGAGAAGAAGAAGTAAGAATGTACACCTGAGGTACAAAAAAAGAATGTTAGAGAAGAGAGTTACATACACACAAATGGGCAGAGGAGGACCCAGAGAGTAGGGGAAGAGAGGAAGGAGCAGACAGAGAGCTTTAACCAGAGTTTTATAAGCCTCAGACTCCCAGATCACATGGCTGGACTCCAGGGAAGCCACCCTCCTGCACCCAATAGGTATGGAAACAGGGGGTGGCTAAAATATGTAAGTTATGTTTTAGTTAGTATGCATATATCTGTCTGTGTCAATGTATGTCGGTGTCAAAATGTGCGTCTCTGTGTGTCAGTCTGTTAAGTATCTGTGTAAGAATATGTATGTCTGTGCAGGGCCGGCCTTAGGCCTTTAGGCGCCCTGTGCGAAAAACCTTCACAGCTCCCCCCCCTGTCATCCATGTATAGTATGTGTGTATAGGAATGTAGTGATTGTATAGGGGATTTATTAAATTAATAATGATTTAAAAACAAATATTCATTCCTCCTTTCCTGTTGTTACCATAGGCGTGCGCAGCCTATTGCATTAGGGTGTGCACCCTAAAGCACAAGCACACGGCGCATATATATATGTATGTAAATACATGTTTATATATATCAGAACAGGGGGTAGAGTCAGCGCTAATCGGGAAGGCAGCAGTCCCAAACAAGGACTCCCTCTAGTGTCCTTGAAAATCAATGATAAAGAGCAAGAAAGGATGAGGGGATGGGTCTGCGCCGATGTGTACACTGAGTATTGAGTCCAATAGGATGTATATTATCGTGTACAAAGTTCTACTTTTGGTGGTATCCAGAAGATGTCGGTGTCGTGGAGAGTAGTCCAAATATGTGAAAAATAGGAAAGATCTTACTTACAATTTGCAGAGCTTAATCCAGCTCTGGTGTGGATAGCTTGCAGCGGTATTATCCCCGCTTATAGGATATACGGCAGGTGTCCTCTTCTTTGTAGTGCCGGGTGGTCGAAGTTGGGAAAAATAAAATAAAAACAGTAATGGTGCAGTATATTCTACACTTGTATAAAAAATTATATAAAATATGATGGATACACTCACATTCGGTAGAGCTTTGACTAGCTCTAGTTGGTTAGGCGTACAGCGGTATCATCCCCGCTTCTAGGATATATGATGAGTGATCTTGACCGGAATATCAGGAGCTCAGAGAGAAAGTAAAACAGCAATAGTGCTCTCAATAAAATCTTGATAATAAAATAAAATAGATAAAATATACTCACAATGTATAGGGCAGGCTAACTGCTCTATGTAACAGCGTGGGTGGTATGATCCCCACCTGGGATTCTTGGAGTATAGTTTTCAGGACTTTAAAAAAATAATAAAAGAAGTATATAGTATAAAATGTATATAAAACGTATATAAAATGTTTATAAAATAGCCAGGTAATAGAAAAGATGATGGTTTAAACGTAAAAATGACCAAAATCTTTTATTAACAGTATATAAAACAGTAAAAATATCCAAACGCGTTTCGCCAATATAGGGCTTTATCAATG